CAAACTAATGTTCATGGTACCAGAAGATACCATATACCAAAGATGAAAGGTAAACACCAGTCTAGCCACAAAACATTTGATCTATAAGAATGACATGTCTCAAAGGTACACTGGTACAATAATGGCACAAAGCTTCTGGGAATACCAACCAATGCCTGACTTGATTTAAGGCCCATACCTAAGGCTGTTTGGAAGGCTAGGAATCTGAGACAAGATAGGCCAGGAACTGAGGGGAACGCTAAATACTACTATACTGTGAAAGGAACATAGCAGTAAAACGACTCCAGTGACATTTTGTTCTGCTCATAGATCAGTTCTTTGCTCAGTCATCATCAGAAAACCTTCTTCCTGCTGATGGGAATAAATACAGAGATCCACTGTCAAATACTATGTATAGAGTAACAGACGTTGGAACACTCAGCCATAAAAGGAATGCCTCCATCAAAATCCATTCCCTCAATGGATCTAATGAGAGTTTACCAAGGCCAGTTGGACTGGGACTGAACGAGGAGGTGATCTAACCAGATTCTAGGAATTTGGCCGGATTCTCTGACTGTGGCTGGCCCGAAGTCTTTCTGAAAAACCATTGACTATGATACTGGGACCTGTTTCCTCTGCATATACTGGATTTTGGGGATCCAGTCTGTTTGGACACTCACCTTCCTGGACCTGGAGGGAGGGGGAGGGAACTGGAACTTCCCACAGGGCAGGAAACCCTGACTGCCCTAAGGGACGAAGAGGGAGGAGGAGAGGGAGTGGGGGGAGTGGGAGGGTGTTGGGAAGAGGGGCGGAAATGGAAACTTTTATAATTTAATAAAATTTACTTAAAAAAAAAACAAAATCCATTCCCTCATGGAACTCTGAAGAAGAGGAGGTAGAAAGATTGTAAAACCCAGAGGATATGGAGGGCACCAAGGAATCAAGGCCTTCTAGAACAACAGGACTGGTGAACATAGGAACTTAAAGAGACTGTGCCAGCAGCACAAGTCCTATGGATCTGCACCAGATGGGGTCTCAGAGATGAAAGAAAAAGTGGACACCTGCTCCCAATCCCTAACACACAAGCTATCGCCAATTGATTGTTAGTTGTAAATGAAAAACTGTTTTTCTCCTAGACAGTCTCACTGGGGAATCAAACTACTCTTAATGGTAGGTCCCATGCCCAGCAGTAGATGGCCAAAACAAAATGAAATCAACAGCATCTTTGGAGGGTCTTTATTTGATAATGTTACATCAAGGCAAGACTTTTTGCTTTGTTTTGTTTTTTCTATATTATAGGTCTTTTGCATGTAGATGATAGGTTCCAGTTTGGGAATTTTAGGGGATTCCCGAGTGTGCAAGCCTGTGTGTTTCTGCATCTATATACATTTATTGTGCTTTTTATAACTTGTTTCCTTGTTTGTTTTTTCATATTCTGATTTGTTTTTTATTTATCATATCTTTTTATTATTATTCTTTGGATACTTAATTTGTTTTCTAAGGAGAGACAGAAAGGGTGTGGATCCAGCCGGTAAAGGATATGGGGAAGAACTGGGAGGCGTGGGGGAGGGGAAACCATAAGCAGAGTATATTGTATGAAAAATTCTATTTTCAAAAAGGAAAAAATATTTTGAGGTGCTGATTCAAAGCTGTCACAGTAGGTCTCTAGCTTAGCTAGAGGACAAGCCATAGATCAGACACCTTCTGCAGTATTAATGAAAACCTTCTTCAGAATGTCTGACCACAGTGGTTCTCTGGGTGTATTGCTGGACTTTCCTTGCAGCCCTGAGACATCCCAGACAGCTCCAGGTCTCCTTCTTGGGTGTCACCTTGCTATCCTGGTGTTATCACTATCTATGCACAGCCTGATGCTTTCCACCAATGTTGAAAACATTCACCATGCATTCTGTGTCCTCTCCCATGAATTTCTCAGACTCCTGAAGGCAAAATTAAGATTTGTTTATGCTGCCATACAGCTCCAAGCACATAGTTACCCTGTGTCTTTGAACGCTTGTGTACATATCTGTGTTTACGTCTGATTCTCATTTTAACTACAAACCCAGGGGGTAGAGAGTGTATTTTCTGTTTTCCTTTCATGCCTGCAAGAATCTCGCCATGACAATTTATCCTTTTAGCTTATAAAGAGGTATCTGAATTATTTAGAGTTGAATCAGAAATAATACCATCCTTAGTAATTAATAATAAAAATGAAAAAAAAGAAAACTTGTCGATTATGGTCAAGGCTCTGGGTTTCAGCCATAGTATCACAAAAGGTAAGCACACATCAGAATCCCTGCTGACAATACATGAAAAAGTCCTCAGTAAAACACTAGCCAGTCAAATTCATCAATGTATGAAAGTAATAACACAGCACAACCAGAACGATCTTCTGCAAGCTACATCAGACTAGTTCAACATTGCAAAATCAATCAGTACAACTCACTGCAACGCAGCAAAAACGAAGGCTGATATGGATTTTCTAGTTTGGCCAAAGACTGTTTAATCAAATTCAATATTCTCTTTATGACAAAAAACAAAACAAAAACAAAAAATGGAACTTCTTTAACCTGTGTCTAGCCTTAAAGTAGACATGAAAGATTTATACTAAGTTAAGGACGAAGTCGAGAAAACACACACCCACCACTCTTGTTAACATGTTAATAGAAAGACTATCCAGTGTAATGAGACAAGAAAAAGAATGAAGAGTTTGATTCTTAGAAGGAAATAAAACTGGTGAAAAGTGAACTATCCCTCAGTAGACAAACCAATTAACAAACTACTGCATGCATCCAATGCCACAGAATTCAACAACATAAAGGGTCATTCAGAGGGGCAGCTCTTAAACATGTGACAGTAAATAAAGGAGCCAGATAAGAAAGGGCACAAATTCCATCTTTTTATTTAGATGGCATTCTAAAAACACTAACAGTTAACAGAGCCAGAAAAAAAAAAAAAACAGTATCAAGTCATGTTTGCCATAATCTGGAGGTAAAGGTTGCCTACAGAAAGCTGTGTGGGGATTCTTTGTAATGGTGAGATTACACTATACCTTACTCGTGGTGACAGGATGCTCTGAACAGTAGCAAAACAAAAGACTAAGGCGAATTCCAGCTTATGTAAATTGTATCTTAATAGGAAATAAAGACCATATAAACTCTAAGATCAGACCACCCAAACTCTGCTTCTTCCCAAATGTAGAGCTTAGGTCATGTTCTGCCACTGCAAAAAGAAAATGAGTGACGGCACCTCAGAGGGATTGCTTTGCCTTCTGCCTCCTCCTGCCTCACAGCTCACGTGGTGTTCACCCCGTGGGTCAATGCGGAAGTCACAGCATGGCCTCCATCATCTGACTCGAAGGTTGGTTTTAATTAAAATTGGTATTCAGATTTCACAGTTATGAAAATTAACAAAAAAATCACTGTTGAGCATGTTAAGATAAATTCACACCAATTTCAAGTACAATTAAAATTAGGCAAGAATTTTCTAAAATCAGAATACAGTTTCAACTCAAATCTAAAATTCTACAAAAATATTTTACAAATAATTTTTATGAAGACTCAGAACTATGGTCATTTATATTTAGTCTTTTAAAAGGAATATTAGACTGTCTGACTTTACCAGTTCAACAAATAAGAGTCAAGAGAGTATTGGGGGGGGGGAGGCAAGGGCTCAGTCAATAAACTGCTTGCTATTGAAGCACGGTCACCTGAGTCTGGATTCCCAGAACCCATGCAAAAAGCTGGGTACAATGTGTATTTGTAATCCTGGTATTAGGGCAGGCAATGGCAGGAGGATTCAAGGGACTTTCTGACCAGCTAGTCTAGCTGAATAGACAAACTCCAGCTTTGGTGAAAGACCATTTAAAAAAAAATGGAAAGCAATTGAGGAAGTCATTCGGTGTCTGAACATCACATGCACAAGCCTACATGTACATAACAACTCTATCTATCTATCTATCTATCTATCTATCTATCGATCGATCGATCGATCGATTGATCGATCGATCTATCTATCTTTCTCTCAAGTTCACACAGAGAGAAGAAAGTGTTGCATAAAGCATAAGATACTTTTGTTTCCTTAAACACCAAGATCCCATATGTCTAGTAAGATCCTCCCGAAAATCATGACACTAGGAAGAATCACCAAAAATGAAAAAGACAATATGGTATCCCAGAAATGTTGGCTCCCTCCAACAAGAAAGGAAGCCATGACTTTCGGTCTGATTAATCTCCTAATATGTGTGGACTATGTATGTACACATACATACACCTCCCACCCCCTCACCTCAGCCTACCATTTGCCTTTGTCTATTAACCAGGTAGGATGACCTCTCTATGGGTTAGAACTGTGGAAAATTTATGCTGAGACACACGCATGTAGCTTTCTCAGAGTTAATTACATTTATGTCAGATCCATGGCGCTTTTATTAAAGCCCCACTCTGCTCAGTTCTGAGAACATAAAGTGTCATAGGCAACTTTTATTAACTTCATCCTGATTATTCCAGGCTCAAAGCCAATGAAGCCAACCAATGTCAAAGCTCCCCCGTCTGCTGTCATCTCGCATCATGCCCCAGTGAGCCGCTGAGAGAAGTATTCTTGGAGTGTTATCAACTACAAATCCTGCAACAAGTATGGCTGTTTGCACAGGATTTCACACTGAATAATATAGTAACATCTAGAAATTCCTAACCTAGAGGGAAGGGGGAAAAAGAACATTTTCAAAGATATTTTAAAAAACCATGGCATGTGCACGGGGACTTCTCCAGCAGAACCCTCGGATTCATTTTAAGCTTTCCACTTGCTCACAACTATTATTTTGAAATATGGAGCCCAAACATGGATCTTGTAAAGCCCCATAGAACAAAAATATTCCTGTGGATTGTATCTCTCAATCAGAAGCCAGGATGAAGGGATGTGTAAGTGGCAGAAAAAAGTGAAATCAATGTGATACTCAAAAGCAAAGCAAAATGAAACTATACAAAGTGCCAAGAGCATAGAAACAATGGTACTGAATAGCTTACCTTGCTTTTTTCCATCCGCTTTTTCTAAAGAGCCAGGGAGCTGGGTGTCAAGGCCAAGCTGGAGGCCACATCTCTGCCTCTCAAAGTCACGTTCTTCCTCTGCAATAGAAGAAAGCGTGTGCAGGGGCTTCGGGCCAGTTGGGATCTGATCGGGCCACTGGTGTGTGGTAGAGCATGAGTCTTTGGTTTGTTGATCAACTCTGGGCCTTGCCGTACTGCCAGAGTCCCGAAGGTCACTATTTGAATGTGAGGAATGGTCCTCTTCAAGAAACAAGGAGTTTGCCTCCTCAGAATTCCTATCACTGCCCTGCTCTCCATCTTCAAAGTAGGTTTCTTGAAACCTAGTATCCTCCAAGTCCTGGTCTGGCTTGTCACTCAACGCCGAATCATGTTTGCTTAGAAGAACCAGCGACGCCGAGAGCGCATCGCCTGCTTGCTGTAGAGCTTCATAAACCCGGGAGAGCCAGGAAGACAAAGGCTGAAAGAAGTTCTGGACATCCTGTGATGCCATGGCCAACACCATGGCCAATTACCTCACGTGTACGGAGTTCACTCTTTTGGTTCCTCCAGAACTCAGGGCTCACGTGAAATACAGAACAAGCATGATGAGAAATTTGAGGTCTCTCTTTTATAACACGCAAAACCTTATTAATATACACATTAAGAAAATATGCGCAGTACGTGAGCACTGTTGGCTGTAACTAAAACCAGGTAGCGTGCCAGTTCCTGCGCCAAGGTCTATGGAGTAGGTCTTTGCAGGGGACAGAGCAACTGTGTTTGATAGGGTAGTCTCTTAATGGTGTGAACACTTCACTCTCAACAGTTCTCGGCTGAAACAGAGGAAAGACATGCTCGCACCCGTTAAAGTCACAACTACAGACCCATCACCAGATACCTATAGCCAATGTCAGTTAGCACTGGGGGGAGGGGAACAAAGAAACGTTACATTGAACTCTTATGGTGGCTAAACAAAAATGACCATGAAAATCTAAACTGTGGTTCTCCCCATGTCGGTATGCCTCCTCGGGCTCACGCACAACCTCCATTAGCAGTAACAGATTCTAGTCACACGGGCCGAAGAGAAGCTTGATCCCCATAGATCAGCTTAACACTGTGGACAGGGTAAAGGAATCCATGGAAACAACCAGTTAGTTGGGCATGACTCTTCAAAATGCAAGAGACGCTGGAGGTCTCGTGAACAAGCATGCGGAGCTCAGAGAGCTAAGGAGCAGGCGTCTCTGTTTTGTGACACAAAGGTTTATCCTCTCAAAGGAAATGTGTGTCTGCAACGTACAAGCTTCCAACAAATCTTAAAATAGAGTTGTACAGTTTTATGCGATCTCTAGAAATGATGCCTAGTCTTGGGGAGAAATCACTGAAAATATGTGCATGGCAAATGGATCATCCAGCTTCCTGGAGATAGATGGCTGATATCTTGTGCCTTTGACTGTGTCCCCATCTCCAAAGTCAGCCCTCTGCAACAGTGGGTCTTCTGAAACATATACTTCGTAAGATTCATAAGCTGAAAGAGGTAATTCCTGGACATTCATAGGACAGGACACTGTGAGGACCAAATAGCATATATCTATGCTTTTACACTCACATGCAAACGTACACATAGGTAGTTTTATGCATATACATGGGTGTGGGTATCTCTCTGCAATCACGGTGTAGGGTAAATGTCATGAATTGTTTCTTTGATAGCAACATCTCCCCTCACAATCACTCCATTCCTGAAGTTTCAACCCTCTTGATCTCAGTCTTTAGCACAACTGCTTATATTCTCTTGAAAAATTCTTGTTAGTGACTCAGATCCACCGATTCATTCAGCAAACAAGTAATACTGACTAAGTACCTATTAAGGACTGGGCATAATGCCAGGCATAAGGTAACCCCGAGACCACTGTCCTCATGGAACCTACATTTCAGTTAAATAGAAACTGAGGTCTCTGCATTCTCCTCTAAAACTGAGTAATTCATGGGAAATAAAAGACAGCAACGGTTTTGCCCAGTGCTGGACTCTGCAGGCTGCAATAGCAATCTGACAATAAAGTTGTGTCCAGTGGTGCAATAGCGGCATGGTTGTTATGGGTTAACTTACTGCTGTTTTCCAATTTGAGGCCTGCAACATGGGAGGAGATTTCTTGCCTGGTAGTGTAATCCTGATCAACAATCCATGGCTAGAGAGGTCATAGGCCTTAAGGTATAACCTACAATTGTTATTTTATTGAATGATCATGCTGTCAAATACTACCTAAATGTTCATGCTTATACTCATAGACCTGGAATGATCTTTCAACCTTGGTCAGAGAAGCTTCTTGTTGCGGTGTTAGCAGCCAATGGGGAGATGTGCTGAAAGACCAAGTGTCAGTCCTAAACAAGAAAACTTGTAGCTCTTGTCTTCCTCTAATGGTTTGAGACCACTCTGTCCCATTCCCCTTTATACTCACCTGCTGGGAAGGCTAACCCATCCATATTTTTGTTTCCTTGGTTTGATTAGTTGGTAAATTGGGTGGTTGGTTGGTTTAAGAGAGTTTCATGTATGTTGGGCTGATCTTCAACTTGCTATATAGCCAAGGATGATCTTTAACCTGTGATACTATTGTCTTCATATCCTGAGCTCTAGGATGACAGACATGTAAAACTGCACTTTGTTTATATGGTGCTGGGACAAAAGTCAAGGCTTCTGTATTCTAGGAAGCATGCTACCAACTCAACTATTTTCATTTTAAACCCTATTTTAATTTTAAACTTTTATAAACTCAAAATAAACATCTCTGGTCCTTGACTTGCTCCTCCTTTTCTTACTCTTCTTACAAGTCCAAGTCAGTAGTGTAACTTTGGTAGTTCAGAGTCATCTAGTAAACTAATAAAGCACACAAAAGACTAGGTTGGCTGCAGGAAAAAGACTGGCCAAGACCCATATATTTCTGTTATCTTCCCTGAAAGATCCAACCCCTATTAAAGGTTGATATTTTAAGAAAAAAAATCTGATGTAAGGAAACAGCTGCACATTAACGTGCCACACTAAAATCTTAAATTCAGTTTTTTCAAACCCAGTATGTCACTTCGCTGCAGGGATTCACCTCTTGGGTCACAGGACCACATGACTGTGACTCTCTCCTCATCACACTCCCCCTCCGTTCTTTCCAGCCAATCTGCCATTAGCTTTTGCTCTCCAGTGATTGTCTTGTCCAAGTTCCCATTCTCTCCTATCACTTACCTGGTTTGTTTCAGTCTCTTTTCTTTCCCAACTCCCATTGAACCCTCTGTTCCCCACAGCCTGACTTTCATTTGGATTTACTGCGTCTCTACCCCTGCAATGGAGGCCCCATGGAGAGTGGAGGCCATCTGTTTAGCTCTCAGTGCCTAGAATTGTCCTGAACACATGGGAAGCAAATCAGCAAATAAAGTCAGAAATCTCATTAGAATCATGCCTGGAACAGTGCTCAGTGGAAGTTACTGACTCAATCATTTTGTTACATTTATGAACAAAACCTACACAGAGCTGTCATGGAAATCTTCAGGGTGTTAGTCTACAAATTTCATATTTAGTACATTATCTTGTCTGCATTTGCTCTTGTCACCCAGTTCCACAACCCACCATTTTGGGTTGCCTTCGCTGCTGCTTGGATGACTTCATTTATTTTACTTTTGACCCAGAAAGTATTTTGCCTAAGCAAAAGCACTTCAGGGCAATAGAGACCTGGAAAACCTCTCCGAGAAATCAGTGACTTTAGCCATCTTTTCCTGTCCTTACAATTCATATAACCCCACTTCTCATCCCAATGGAATGTCTGGCTGAGCATAGGCTGACCCCAGAGAAACCGGAGTGAGAACCCAGCTATTCCTTTTCACCCCTCACTGTGAGGTCTTATATGTCATTCATGCTCACACTGAGAATTTCCATAAGTGACCTTGATTTTTTTTCTGATTTTTATTTGTTTATCCCAGATGTCTTCTTACCTGGTCTGCCTCATTTTTTACATTGAAACGCTAATGGCTTTCTCTGCTAATTCTTCATCTACAACTAAGGACGTCACCTCAGAATATGCCTTTATGTTATAAAATTCCATTTATTTGTCAATATTCTTCTGATGGGTTGGTGGTCCACAAGTCTGGGAAGTATTTTTACAAGCTACAGCTCCAGAATCCACATAAGGCTCTGAACATGCTAGTTGTATGTTGTATGCTTATGTGCATGTATTGATGGGTAGAGATGAATAGGTGAATGGAATGGGTGAGTGGATGTGTGGATGGATAGAGAGGTAGGTGTGTGTGTGTGTGTGTGTGTGTGTGTGTGTGTGTGTGTGTAGGGATGAGTGGATAGATGGTGGGCTACTGGGTGGATGGGTAGATGAGTGTGTGAATGAAGGTACTAGTGAAAATGCTTAACACCAAATGGTCTTGATTCTATCATTTATCATCATCTGTAAAATGGAATTCCCTTACTCTACCAGTTCCTTTCATCTCTAAAATTCCAGAGCATATCAAATATGCCAAACAGCATAGTAGCCAAGGCTGGATATATTAAGAAGCTGTTGGCATACAAAAGAGTTCCACAATAGCTCAGAATGGAGTATAACAAAGATTTGTTTATTTGGGGATAAACTCACAGAAAGAGTAGCGATCTGCAGTCCTCTGTGCGCACTAGAAACTGAATCTGAATCCAGCAGCCAAGAGTCCCGCTCCTGTTTTTTGTCTGCCTTTATAGTACATGAGACCATACCCAAAGTGGGCTGGTTTCTTAAAGGCTATTGGCTGAAGGAGTTCCCATAGCAATAATAAAATTGCCTTTTCAGGAATGAGTTCTAAATCTTTGTTAATTTGATAATATGATAATACATGTCATGTTGTCTCGAAACAATGCAAAAGAGACCAAATCTCTATCTAAATATGGGGGTGGGGGATGTCTAGTTGCTGTATTCGAGAATGCTGAAAAGGAACAGCACCTGTATCTGGACACAGAAAACTACTGAGTTGGTAATACTGGGTGTCACTCATAAACCTAAACCCAAAGGATATCAGTTCAGACAAAGCAGTCATGGAGATGTTTTTAAGTAAATATCAACTTATTGAGAGGGCACACCAAGGGCGATGCAAATATGTATTTGTGGTTCTAGTTCTTTGGAGTACTTTCTTATATCTGTTGAGAAGATGACATGACTCCTGGTCAGATGAATATACGGGAAAGAGAAACAGAGATGGTGGGGGGAGGGCAGGGTGAGAAAGCTTTATTATGTTACTGTGATAAAACACTATAAATAAAAGCAAGTTGGGCAGAAAAGGACTGGTTTGACTTACACTTTCAGATTCCAGGTCATAATCCATATGGAAGGAAGTCATCCCAGCAGCTCAGGTGGGAATGAAAAGCAGAAACCACAGATTTGTTTGCTGGCTCGCTCACGCTAACCTGCTACAGTTCACTCATTCATGCTCAGGCTTAGCTAGCTCCCTTAGACAGGTCAGGACTGGGACTTCCTGTATCATTAGCTCAGGCTTCTTATTAACTAACTCTTATATCTTAAATTATTCCATTTCTATTATTCTGTGAATCACCACGAGTCTGTGACCTACCATAAACGTTCTGGCATCCTTCTCCTTTGGCAGCTACATGGTGTCTCTATGACTCTGCCTACTCTCTCTCTCTCTCTCTGTGTGTGTGTGTGTGTGTGTGTGTGTGTGTGTGTGTGTGTGTGTGTGTTCAGATTTCCCACCTGGCTTTATTCTGCCATGCCACTGGCTAAAGCAGCTTCTTTATTACCCAATAGTAATAAAACATATTCACAGCAACAGAGGGGAATCCCACATCATGTATGCATAAGAGAGT